CAGTGGCAGTCATACCTGCAATTTAAACGTAGTTCCGATGCGTGGAGAGAAGGGGCTCGTAGGATAGCGGCTGGTAGATTACGAATCGAATGAACTGAAGGCAGTGAGTGTGAGATCGATTCCCTGTCGGTCGCTGTGCTGGAGGCGATCAAGTTCCTTCACTTTATTGCCAGTGGATTTTACGAGTTGTGGTGTTACTGTGGACCCTATCCTGCCGCCTCGGAATTAAAGCATTTGATTCGGGCCACGTAAAAACAGACCATAGTGTCTTGCTGTTGCCAGCACAAGCAGCATCACTTTTCCTGCTTTTTTTCTCCTTATGCTTCTTCAAGCTCCTGAAGTTTTTCCTTAAAATGGGCCACTGAACTCTGGTCGCTTTCTGTGTTTGCATTCTGTGCACTTTCAAACTGGCTGAGTGGTGTTTGACATCGGGAGTGCTCGATGTCGTGGAAAAAGCCGTCACCTCAACAAAACTTGTGCATTTAGGGACTTGTCATCCATTAGTGTGGCTGTGAAAAGAAGCCTGGGCAGTTGAGACAAAATTTACTGTTTTATTTGAAATTGTGTCTCAAAATTCAGTCAGGAAATCGCGGAAGTTAGCCAGTGCTATGCAAAATTAGGCTAGAAGGGCACAAACTTGTGCCGAGTTCAGCCTAAAATTCGTGCAGAAAGTGCGCAGATTAGTATAGAAATACTAGTTTGCACTGAATGGTTCCATTTGCTCCATAAAATGATATGTTCGAGAGACTGAGCCGTAAAAATAGGAAAGAGACGTAGTTTTGAGCGTAAGTTGAACCGAGAGCTGATCACGCCGTTGTGAAATGACTGCATTTTTTAAATGTCTAAGATGCGGACCCATTTTCGGACACGCGCAGTCTAACAAGGCAAAACGTAATAAATCTCATAAGCATGTTTACATGGCTTCACTTTTGAAGCCAGAAAAGGCTACGAAACGATGGGTAGGAGCATGCCTTCCTTTACTGTGAAAATTCCTGACTTCCCACGGTCTGCAGCTTTTTTTGTACACTGCATTACACAACTGTAATAAAGGTGAGAATAATCCATCTGTTACAGCTCTCCGCTTCTTTTGCAGGAGGAGCAGCGACAAATCTTACAACGGGTAGTAACGTGATGGTCCTGAACGCCGCCCCGCACATCCCCGCAGCTCCGAATAATAATTCCATGTACCAGCAACAGCGAAACATGCAAAGTGGAATGAGTAATGCCAAGCCGGAGACGACGTTACCAATGCTTGATGGAACGTCGAGTTTGGCAAAATTTACTTCTCCCATAAGAAGCTCGTTTTGTGTCAACAAAAAGATTGCGAACGGAAAAACTGACCAAAAAAGCAAAGGTTTGACTATGTGATTTTGTACCGCTAGCATTTCCCACCTTTCAGCCGACATCAGAATAAAATAGAATTTTCCTGTATCGAGTTTCTGTCATAGAACCGAACTTGAGCGGGTTCTAATGCTATTGATTTTTCGATGAATTTTTTCCAGCACAAATGATTTAAGAAAAATATGTGCTTGTAATTAAATGCTGCTAACGTATATGTAGGCCTCTAAATGAGACTGTGCCAACAAAGTTCAACAGCCTCCGCCAAAGTACATCTCACTTTCTACTGTTACCGTCGCTTATGCTGAATCACTGCATTAAGCAGTGCAGTTCCGCATCTTCTTTTATGCTTTGCATCCCTGTGCTGCTGAATTTAGTGCGCGAAAAGTTAACTTGAATGCCTGTTAGTGACAGTTGCTGCATCGCTGAAACAAATGCTTTGCTTCAATGGAACAGAGGGCTCAGGACATCAACTGTTGCTGTTTTGGAGCTTTTGTATGATGGTGTGAGATCTACCGGAGTATCGTTCCCTTGGCCAAGCGCTCTACTCATTCCTTTCATATAATACGGAGAGGGAGGGAGGGAATACTGGTGCATCAACAGAAGACAGCAGCAATTAAATGGTAGTGAAGTCACCAAGTTGTCAAAATTATCACCTTCCTTTGATGGTATTTCAGTGGACATGAAAAAAGTGATACAGTTGGATGGGGCGGATCGTATCAGTGAATCATCAACGGAAGAAGAAGATTTGGACGAGGAGGAGGAGTACGATCCGTTGAGAAGAATTGCAAATCGTATTGATGAGGAACAGGCAAATGCACCTGAGGACGAGGAACAGGTTTCACCTGCCACTCTAATTAGCAACTTAGTGCCTTGTTGTTATCAAAGTGCGCCCCATAACTACCACCAATTGACTGTTTGGCACTAGCATCGTATTTACTGAGATTCAAGTGATCGTTTTATTTTCTGTAACTACTGCTGTTTAAAAATCCTGAGACATTCGGGAAAGGGAGAGTAGGAGTACGGAGAATTTGGGAGTCACTTTTGAGGACCAGATGGTGAGCGAAAGCAAATGGGAAAAATGTTGCTGTTTACAGTTAATTTACAATGCCGTTTTCGAAATCTCAAGGGTCCGCGCTGTGTCACGCTTGAAATCGTCTGCGTGCTAGCATCTTCCCCGTTGATCGTCTGGGAAAATAATTAAATTTGAGTGTGGAATCGAATCTTCGGAAGATTGGTTTTAGTGAATCCGGCACATTTTTGTGGCTGTGTTGTACAGGGCTGTTTTAACCCATCTGCACAAGATGTTACTCACTAGTTCAGGTAGCTAACGAAGAGGATCCACTGAATTCGGGCGATGATCAAAGCGACGATGAGGACATTGATGAGTTGTTCGAAGCGGAAAATCTTGTAATGTGCCAGTTTGAAAAGGTACTCTGTTCTTGTATTGCTTTTTTTTTGTAAATGTTGGCGTGAAGGGCTGGCTTCTCTCATCTTTGACTGCAAAAATTACGGGTCAGCTGGGCATTAGCAGGTTTTGTGTCTTAGATTTCGAGGGCATTCTTGTCGGCAGCAGTATTTTAGGGAAAGTGTTTTTCTTTGATGGGCATAGCTGGCAATCTATTAGCCGCGTAGCTTTCGTCTGTAATACTGATAAATTAGTTCTTGTATTACTGCGCTTCCCGTGTGTTTATAAAGTACTTGACTGGTATGTGGTAATGTTGCTTCTGGTAATAGCACTGAAGCAGCAGTAGCTCTGTTTTTGGTTTCATTTCGGTATAGGCCAGCTGAACACATTTAACCTAGTTCTGTGAATTTGAATTATAAAAAACACGGCCCGACGTGAGCATCCTGGGTATGATATTATGGTAGTTGTAGACTATCCACTGAGCATATACTCGACTACGACTGAGTATATATTAGAAATTAGTGGCCGCGAAAACGCTGTTGCGTTTCTATACATCTGACAGTACCCTCTTCCTCCCCTCCCTTCTCCTCTCCCCTCCCCCTCCCCAATGAATAACAGGTGGCAGCAACCAAAGGGTGACGCTACTGCGATAAATGAATGGAAGAAGAGCGTGAGGAAAGTGTAACGGTGTATGGAGTGGTCAGAGAGAACTGTAATAGCGGCGTTCCTGAAGTGCTGCTGTTACTGGTTTTTGTTTGTAGCCGTCAATTTTCCAGATCCATCGTGC